TTTTTTTTTTTTGTTTATGCAATGCAATACGCAGTCGGACAATTGATAGCCGATTAAAAGCAGCAATCTTACAACAACGACACTTTAGCAAATAATTATTGAAGAAAATAATTATAAAGTAATATTTTTTGAATAAGGTCATATCAGATAATAAATTGAAAAACAGCAAGCCTTTCAATACATAATAAAGACTGAAGAAGAAGAAAAAGCAAAAGTTGAAATCGAAATGTTTATCGATAAAAACAGTCCTTTGAAACAGTAAAAAAAAAAAAATGAACGTAGTAAAGAAAGAGGCAGCAGCCGAAACGAGAACACCAGCTGCACTTATCCATGTTCACGTGATTAAAAATTAACCAGTGGAAAAGCGAAGAGATGATGCTGAACAACAACAACAACAGCAATTATACTATGATGCTCTGCTCTGCTCTGAAAGCTAAAGAAAATAATCAAAAGATAATGACGACCACAACGATGGCGACAAAGCATGAAAATTTTTAAAGATCATCAAAATCACATTGAAATTTCGGCAAGCGGATCAAAAGCAGAAAATAAAAAATATCGCTGATAAAACCGTTTCATTCACACAGACACGCACACATATAAACGAAAAACTAAATTTTCCACACTTCCTCACCAAGAATCTACTCTGATCTCAGTCAAAAAAGAAAAAGTGCATCAAAACTGAAAAAGTTTGTGCTCAGCAAAAATAATTTGACTCAACAGCCATCAATGAACAACTCGAGTAGCAGTCAGTTCACAAAATGATGGGTAAATACGCTGGATGACGTCACCGATGCTAGGAAAGCCCTGGCCTGCCTGTATGCGAACGCTAAGAACGAGAGGGTGAGCAGCTGAGAGCCGACAATTACAGCGTCAGCACTCGATCGTGCAATAGAAAAAAAAGGAACTCACCTTGCCTGCGAACCAGTCTGTTACCGCGCTTCCTACAAATACCTATCTACTTCGGCTCCTAAAGATAATGGCAATAAAAATTCCAACCCCCAAATAGTCGTCGTAGATACACATGTTTCTTACCATGACAAAACTACAACAACAA